TTTATTCACCACCCTCCAAAATTGTCTCGGGTTGTTGACTAACATATTGGGGAGTGTGTTATTAAAGTAGGTTTCCTTTGCTGCTTTTGTGGCCCTCCTATATTCCCAATTAGCAACGTAGTAAGAATCCCATCTGGCCTGCGAGTTAGAAACTTTAGCGGACCGAAACAGCCTTTTTTTCTTATTAGCCAACCTTTTCAAAGATTGGCTATACCAGGGAGCATGCTTATTGGTGGTGACTAGCCTCAGGGGAACAAACGTTTCAGTCAGGTATGCTACTTTTTCTTTGAACAAAATCCAGTTCGAATTAACGGAACGAGCCTCGAATTCATCAAGATAGCTGTCCAGAAATAAACAAAGTTCTCTATTGATGGCATCAAAATCGGCAGCAGCGTAATCTCTAATGTGCTTACTATAATTTTCATGGTGAGGAACGCAAACATCCATAGTGAAATGGAGCAAAGAATGATCACTTAATTGAGGCAAACAAAGTGGAGACATGAACAGGTCAGGCACGTTGGTTAACACGAGATCTAAAACGCTCGAAGTAGTAGGTGTAATGCGAGTTGGTTGGGTGACAATTTGTGTAAAGTTGAAATCAGAGCAAAAGCTCAAAAAATTATGACTGTCAGTAGAGAACGGACTTAACTGAGGTACATCACTGGACCAAAATATATTTGGGTAGTTAAAGTCTCCGGCTAAAAGGACTGGTACATTAGGAAAACGTTCCATAACTATGTTAACCACATCGTGAAGGCTATTGACAAAGCTCGGATCGCAGGACGGTGGACGGTAGCAGATACCCAAGATAATCTTTTTATAACATGTGCAAATTTCAACAAATATGATCTCTAAATTGGTTACAACAGGCACAAAAGACGAAGAAATATGATCCGCTACAGCAACAAGTACACCACCGCCGCATCTATCACCTCTATCACGACGATACACATTGAAACGCTTTGTAGAATCAAACAATTCACTGCTGTTAATTTTTGAAGTAAGCCACGTTTCAGTTAACAATACAACATCAGCGTCACATGAGTCGACCGCCGCATTTAGTTCATCGCGTTTCGATAAGACACTCTTGATGTTCGTGAAAAGAAAAGAAAGCGAATTTTTTGGGCACCGCCCCCCACCCCTCGCGTGTCGCTACTGTGGCGAGTTTGCAGCTGATAACGGTGCCCTGGATACTGAGGGTTCGCCTGAAAGCTGCCGATTAACGAATTCCCCAGAGGCGCCGCCAAGTTCGTACACACTGTCGTCAGAAAAATTGTAACTGTAACGTTTATCACCTATGTGCAACTTATTGTACCGAAGCTTGAAAGAAACATCCCGTTGTTTGGCAAATTCTACAAGCTTCTTTTGCGCCTGCCGTGTTTGAAGGGAATAATCCTCACTTACAGTGATGCCATTCTCTTTGAATTTTCCGCTGAGCGATAGTAATTCCTGCTTTAACTTAAAATATGCAAACTTAGCAATAACTGGTCTATTTTGGTTGGGCCTGTACGTTCCTAGCCTGTGTACTCGCTCAAGAGCTTCGCTCGGCACTGGTGACTTAACAACGGTACTGATCTCTTTAACCAGTTTTTCTTCAGTTTGGTTCCATTTCTCCTGCGGACAGTCTGTCAAACCGTAAAACAAGAGGTTACTGCGTCTCATTCTATCCTCAAGCTGAGAATGTTCATCGTGTAACCTAGCGTTTTCTCTGCTCAGATGGTCGGTTAGCTGCTTTAGCTGCAAAAGTTCATCCCCGACCTCGGCGTTGTCACACGCTTTTGCTTCGACAGCGGCGAGCCTACGGTCGATGTCGTTAACTTTGCGCTCGATTGCTTCCTGGTTGTTTTTAATTTCATTCACGCTAGATATTAATTTCACTTGGTCCTGTTCCATTTTTTCGGTTCAAGAGTTCATGCTCTGCAGAAGAGCAAACATATCACTAAATTTTGGCTCATGAGCCCTGTTCGATACGTCAGACTCGGGAACCTTTTTATTGGGCCCTGGGTTTTCTTCAACGTCGCCAGATAGCAAAACAAGTATAGATATAACATCTACACATTCACTTAACAGTGACAACAAGACTCCCGGGCGTGGGAACAGCATCAAGCACACATTGTTGGACTTCTTTGCATATAAAGGAGTATTGTTACTAACCTGTGTGAACAAGCGAGCAAGGTTACGGTGCCGCATTTCTGCGCTGTTCCCACGCCCACTGGAGAGGCCAGGTTCGTGCCATCCGTTTTTATCCTGGGCTTGCGATGACGTTACGACCAATGAAGTGGCCGCCTGGCTCGGGAAGATGTTGCAGGGGTGTTTCCGGCCAAATCCTGGACTGGCCGAAAACTGGTCGCTATCAGGCAGAAGCACTGTACGTGGCTCATGCCCAGCAGTCGGTAATAGCCATGAGCAGAAGTGAAGAAGTGAAGCAACCTGTGTGAACAAGCGAGCAAGGTTACGGTGCCGCATTTCTGCGCTGTTCCCACGCCCACTCTTGCAGACGACTTCGGTATACCACAGAGTACTCTGAGTACATTGTTGAAAAACAAGGCAGATAAGAAGGCAAAGGTGGCGGAGCAGCATATGTCGGGAGCCTGTCGTGTGATGGTGGAACTTGCGGAAACCGGTGAAAACAGAGATGAAGGGCGCATAGACGACTCGTTTTGCGAGTTGTAGTCCCTCTTGTTTGCAGCTGTTCCCGAAACGCGAAGCGTCTGCGAACGACTTCGTGGAAGCGAACTGCAACGTTCAGGCCGCTGCGAGCCTCGCTTACGAGGACATAGTAGCTGCTGTCGCAGGGGCACAAGATGCCCAGGCCGAGAGCTCAAGTGGCGAGGAGGATCATCTGGACGAGGTGCTGGCTACATGCACGTATTGTACCGCAAAAGTGGTGGCAGCGTTCATCATCGATTCGCCATTGTATCGGTGACATGGAGGGAACCGGGCTATCTCAACTGGACATCCGTGATAAAATTGAGACGAGGGTCTTCAACTTCATTTAGAAAACGAAGAAGCAGGCCCAAAGAAGCAATCTCTCAAGAGTGGAAGCTTGGGCTAGTTGGTGCGTAGTCATATTTGCAAGATGTTTCAGCGTGCGAACAAAGGAAAAAGAACAGGGTAGACAGAAAGAGCGCTGACTTCCAACTAACTTTATTTTACAGAGTGGCAAGAATATATACTGCTAAAAAGGATGATAACAGAGCATGAAGATAAAATGCAAGTCTAATCTACACATCAGTAACAAAACACGGTCTTCTACTGCCTCAAAGCCCAGCTAGGTAATCATGTTCAGCCTGTGATAAAGCAATCGATGATGTGCTTACACATTTATCTCCTAGCAAGTGTATTTTTTCGGCTTCCAGGTAAGCTGGTCCCTGTGCCTTGCCAATATCAGTGCTCAATATTGGCCAGTGCTTTGATCAGTGCTCAATATTGGCAAGGCACAGGAAAAATACACTTGCTAGGAGATAAATGTGTAAGCACATCATCGATTGCTTTATCACAGGCTGAACGTGATTACCTAGCTGGGCTTTGAGGCAATAGAAGACCCGTCACAGGTGTTTAGTAACTGATGTGTAGATTAGGCTTGCATTTTACCTTCATGCTCTGTTATCATCCTTTTTAGCAGTATATATTCTTGCCACTCTGTGAAATAAAGTTAGTTGGAAGTCAGCGCTCTTTCTGTCTACCCTGTCCTTTTTCTTTTGTTTGCACGCTGAAACATCTTGCAAATATGAGAGCAATCTCTTTTTTGGAAATAAAGTATTTTGTTGCGGGTGTGTGCGGAATTAGTTGTCATTCTTGGATGCGCCTGTTGTAGGTGGTGGTCTGCTGCAGGTAAGCTTTTGGGGCCTGTATTTTTTTTTTCATGTTGAATTTTCTATATATCTTACTAATTCACGATTTCCTTGAAGTTTGATATATCCGTGTTTGATTGTATAAATAAAATGCATTGTGGTGTTAAGGTTGGTTCACACCGGCGACTAGCAGTGGTCGCCTGACCATTTGTAACTGGTGACCAAAAAACGATTGACGTTTGCACCAGCAGAGGCTGCATGCGAGTGACTGGAAGTCGCAGGGCCGGAGAGTCGCGTCCGAATTTCATTATCAGCGAAAGCCAGCCAACTGAGTGTTGCCAGTCAAGCTCACCGCATTTATTGTTTTCGGCGGCCACTCTCGATTCAAGTGAATAAGATGAGAGTCTCATGGTGCTGGCACGACCGCCGAATAAAAAAGAAGGTGCGGCCTCTCTGTTGCCGCCAAAGTGGTGTCTCGGACCTAAATAATGCTGTATACTCAAATAAAGTTGCTACTCGCCCACTCACTCAGACCAAGTTAACCTGCAGGCATGCTTCAATGCGAAAGCTTGTCTTAGAAAAAACGCTTCCGCACTCATTCACATGAAAGACAGCGACTCTGCTCAGGCTGTAAATAATGCGCTTGTTAATTGCACCGGCCACCTCTCGTTTGGATCCTCCCTGGTTCCGCCGTTTCGTGAACATTCCAAGCTTCATGCCACAAATGCATGGTTGTCAAGTTTACCCTTCTTAACTCTTCCGCTGCCTTGCGGGTTTCCACAGAACTTATTTGCATTACTAAGACAGAATTAGTGTACCACTGCCTGACGGAAGGACACATGTTTGATTTTAATAATGTGGTGATACCGGCACAAGAGCAATGGTTGGGCCTAAGAAAATTCATAAAATCATGGTTTATTCATCATAATAAATCTACATGCAATAGTAATTGCGGCCCCCTGCCGGATGTGTGTGGCAAAATATAAGTAGGATGTATTCTTTGGGTGCTGTTTGTGTACTCGTGATGCCACCCACATAGGTGACGACAGGTCTGTTTTTTTATTTTTATTGTTGAATAAAGCCAGTGATCAGAAATGTGTAGTTGAGGGTTGTATTTGGCTACATAGCTGGGAAGGGGCAAATATCTCGTGCCTTGTGGCTATACCTTTTGTGGTCGTACAAGCTTTTGGCATTGTCTCTGTGCAGGTGCTGCTTCAAATCCTGCTCACGCTAGACACGGTGACTCAGGCATTTGTAGCTGTCTACCTTCACACGGTGGCACAAGAACCCCCCGAGTTGGAAGCTCTCCTGAAAGATGTGCTCGAGCTGTTGGGCTCCAAGCACCGTCAGAACCTACACTGTCTTTACCTTGTGCATCCGGGGTGGTGGACACGGGTGAGCCCTTCTCTACACTGCGGCCCATTCTGAAGGCGAGATAACTTGTGGGATAGATTTGTGTGGACACGCACGCGTTGACCACGGAATATCGACAGATAATACAGCCTTGAACATATTTAAAATTGATTTCAAAGTTTGTGTTGTGGCACCACACGCAAAACGTGCCTCTGGTTTCCTGGTAAACGACTAACCGCCACTTGCGTCACGACCTTGTGTTGGCTAAGGGCTCTCTCATAGCAGACCTTTGAAGTGGAAAAAGGGGCAGGTTTGCACTGGACTACAAAGGCTGGTGACCTTGCCTTGGCAGTCTATTTTTGCGGAGTCACGTATATTTACAGCCTCTTGGAGGGAGCCTTGGTTGAAAAGAGCTGTCAACGCGTTGCTCATGAGCACATGGTTTTTGTGCTCAGGTAGCCAGCTATGCTTCGACGAAATCGATCCGGGTTTATCTAACTCGGTACTCTTTGAAACCAAAACTGGAAGTGGGAATGATGGAATCATTTTATAAATAATTGCAATGCACTCAAACAAATGAGCTTTTCAGCAGTGATAAGCGGGTACTTATCCATCTATTGCAAGGGAAAAAAACAAAAAAAATATTTGTGTCAGTACTTCTTTGATACCAATGTCACTCTGGTACATGTGATCGCAATCAGGATTGATCTGGATATGATTCTTTGATCATGATCAACAATGGTAGATGCTACATGGCCTAGACTAATCCAAATCGAGTTTGGCAAAGATAGCTGTCAAATCGCAACTTGGGAGTTAAATCACAATGCAGATATCATGATCGACTTGAGGTGGTATGGTAAACCTCCCCAATACTATACAGTCAAACCCCTTTATAAGAGACAGTGATAAAGAAACAAATAGATATAAAAAGCACCAGCATGCCTACAGTGAAATACGGGGGATAGGAAAGCATATACGAGGTCCCCTGCTTGTAAGAGACATCAACAAGAGTTACTTCCCGGAGCATGCCTCTTATAAAGTGGTATGACTGTATTGAATTTTCAATTTCGACACCAAAAAATCCACAGTTTGTGAGGAACAAACCTTTGGAAGCTCTACGTCAAGCGGCCGCTCCAAGGAGTTTAAAGGTCACGCCTAAGTGCACCGCGTGCCCTCTGGCGTAAGAAGTATGTGCACTTAAAACTAAGTTTTTCTCGAATGGTTTTTTTAAATAAATTTTCCAGCTTCAATGTACCTTTTCTAAGAAAGTATTCACTCAATTTCGATAATACTTTGCATGTATAAGCTACAACTAGCTGAAAACAATGTGAACTAGAAAAGTTGCTGATTTTGTAAAAAGTGAAGCTTAAACAAAAAATCAAACAGCAATACTCACTACGTTGAGGAAAATTAGACAACGCAAACTATCGCAGAAAAATGAGCAAAAGGAAAGAGCGTCAACTTGCAGCTAATGTTAATTTGAAACAAAGAACATAATATACCTTTGCATTAATCTCGTGCATATGCATATACCATCTAACAAGATTGCATGGGTCAATCTTGCAGCATGAAAAAAAAATCATATCATGGAGCATTCAAATGCGTTGAAAGAAAAATCATCGAAAAAGTTATTTATAGCACTTCCTCATTCACTCCCATTGCTGCGCATGTTATTTTTACTGTTCATGTTAAACACAATGCCCTAAAAAGCATGTAGATTGCCAGATTATTGTGAACTTTGCACTTTGTGCAAATATCACGAGAATGTAGTTTCTACATAAGCTCCTGTGCCTTATGTATTCAATGTGGAAAAAGGAAATTGCCTTTGTTAAAAAAGTCGCAGTTTCGCCAAAACGGCAAAGCAATGAATGCAATAACAACCTGTTTGAATGCTTTATGAAGCAAGGCTAGCATTTTTAAGAGCAATATTAATTGTAATAAACATGCACTTGCTAAGTAACCAAGTTTCCTGTGGGGTGGCCACAGTAGATGACCACAACAAGGCTCATGCATAGCGACGACGTTGATATACAAAGTGAGGCTGGCAGTCAATCCCTTTAGATCCGATTTCACGTTAATCTACTAAACGCTGGTGTAAGAGAACACAGGCACTCCAGGTAGACTTGGCACCGTTTTGTCATGTTCAAAATGCTGCCCGTAGAAGTTCCCGCCTGCCGTGGGGGCACAAGGCATGCGCTTATCGTTGCCACAATAGCACGGCAACGATAATCACCCCCCCCCCCCCTTCCGGCTGTTGCTGGTGAGATAAGCGTGTGCGAAGATGAGCACACGCTGGAAAGGGGATGTTCGCTCTGCAGAAAGAAGAGGCTAGCGCATTCTACCCCGTATATACACACGCACACACACACACACATATGATATACATATACGTGAATGATGGTGGCTGTGGCAGAGACTGCAAGAACCAGTCGAGACTGTTCATATAATTGCTATCTCAGTAAAATTTTCTAAGAACGCTCTTTTATTGAGAATGGTGGCATTAAGGAGTTTATATTTTAGGATCTTGTTACTCCTTTGTGTTGGCTGCACTGGCTTGTGGTGTTCGTTGAAGTCATCTCTAATCTTCGAAGTGTGTTTCTTTTTGTGGTTACAGGTGGCAGCATGGTGGTTTTGCACATTCCGTGCCCCTGACCTGAGGCATCGGTTATGCCTGGTGTCCAAGCTGGAAGAGCTGTACCACGACATTGCACCTGACCAGCTGGATCTGCCACGATTTGTCCTTGATCATGATTTTATGGTGTGTGTGCGTTTGTGAATGTGCACATTCTTCCTTTAAGTTTGAGCAAAAGATGTTGCTTGCTTAATAGCTCTAGCTATCAAGTACCTTTCAATTAGAGAAACGGCGGTGAAGATTTTGATGGAAAATTACTGTACAATATTGTGTAGAAGGTAACTGTGGTAGTGGACAGCATTTTTCAGTTCTGGAACTAAAGTAGCTCAAGTGTGCTTTTGATCCTGACATGAGCTACCAGCAGCAGAAGCCGGACATGTCTAAGAGGAAAACGCTAACGTGAAAGTGTTTTGTGTCATAGTCATCAAAGAATTGACACACACCATTTCTTTGACAGAACTTTTATCCTTAAAATGGCATGTGGGTGACTAAGAAAAATTCAAAAATGAGAACAAACATTCGAATTCAATTCAGCCATGGAATAAAATCTCCGACTCTATGATTTGTGAAAAAAAGTAGCAGTATGTAGTGACTGCTATGCCATAAATGCAAACATTTGCATGCATGAACCGGTTACACAGTTAAACTAAACCCCTTTATAAGAGGCATACTTCGGGTGGCAGTTCCTGTCTTTTAGATGAGATGTCTCTCATAATCGGGGTACCTCATATGCGTTTTCTAATCAACCCATACTTCACTGTAGGCACACTGGTGTCTCTTATACCCGGCTGTCTCTTATATCAGTGTTTCTTGTGAACAGATTCACCTGTATGTGCTTTGCACTTTAACATGGATGAACAGTGCAGAGGAGTAATATGTTGAAGCATTGCATGAGCATCTTGGTGCGGCATAGTCCTGGTTGCATTGGACCAGCGATATACTGAGTGGGAAGCACAATGCTCCCCAAGCTTTCGAGATGCACAAAACGAAGTATGTCTTTCATATTTGTGAGTATGTTGCGATATGCCAAATTTCCAAAACACTGCAAAATTATTGGCGGAGAGTTGGCAGCGAATGTCAACATGGGTGTGTCTGCGTCAAGCACAGACATGCTGGCCCAATAGCTATGCACACTGTGCAAATTGCATTCTGTAATTTCTCACACTGGTACAACTAAATCTATAAAGATGTGGTCCCCTTTTGTGTTATGAACAATGCTTATAAAAGAGGGATCAAATATTATTTTACATTACCAAAGCTTATCGTTCAAATAGCAGTCTAGTCATTTCTCAGTTGGACCTTAGTTGTACTTTCTCATATGAAGTTCTTTTCTTTAATATTGTGGCAGTGATAAGCAACAAACACAGGTTGATGCAAACAGCAAATCATGCTTCACAGGCAATCGCTTCTTAACCCACTTTACTTTCTATAAAATTACTATGATATGCTAAAACAGCACAACTTATGTCTCCAATGCCTTTCCTAGCTTCATTATCTGCTGGTTTTCATTAAGGTTAGGTCAAGCAAGGCAACAAGCCTCTGAAATTCCCCCCTTCTTTCATTCATTCGTAGCGAGGGTCTTGTTCTGCATGTTTGATGCCTTCAAGTAGTATGAAAAGGCTTATTAGTGAGCTGTCTGCTCAATAAAAGATCACATGCTATGTGATACCAGCTGTCAAACAAAAAAATTAGGGGACCATAAAGCTTTGTTTTTAGGAGTTGAACGCGATAGCGACATCCTGTTTTTGTACGCATTTCAAACACTTAGTGCATGAAACCTTTTCAAATTTGCTATGCACTCACTATATGTGGCCTTAAGGTAATAGGCGCCGTAACATGTGTGCTTTTTGTAGGGGGGTACCGGCTTTCGACCGCGTAGTCATTATAGTAATCGCATATTCTGATGCCCGTTGGCAATGGACGCTTGTACCACGCATTATTACTGCAATATTTCATGTTGCATTGTGAAGCATGTATATAGGACACGTGTGCTTGTGAAGCACAAAAGCTACTTTCACTGCATTTTCAAGCCGAGGAAGTTCTTTTCACTGTTTTCACAAGCAGAAGCGCGGTCGTGTGGTACAACATCCGCTTGCCAAGCAAGTGACCCGGTTTCGATCCCCACTTGGACCTAAACAACCCTGGTTCGGTTTCCACTCTGCTCTAGGGTTATTATCACGTATTTGTTGTATTTGCATCGTTCCCGATTTTTCTGTCACTCATAAGACAATTTTTCACTCACAACCAACGACGTCGATGCTGACACCAACCCTGGAATTTCTGCAAAATGAGCTCTTTAACGCTTTCGCATTAGGAGAGTGTTCCACACTTGCAATCATGGCCACAAGTTACAGTGCTAACTCTCCCAGGTTTGCATGCACATAAATACCTGATCATATGGACGAGAGGACGACTGCTGCCGTAGCTTTGTAGAGCATCAAGCACGTCATCTGAAGGTTCCAGGTTCGGTCTCTACTTGCGGAAATAAGATTTTCTGTCCACTTTACTGTTATCATATCTCTGCCATATTACACTTAAAACAATACTGTTATTGTCCCCCCATACTTTCCTTGGCTCCATTATCTGCTCGTTTTCATTAAGCTTGGGTCAAACACAGAAACGAGCCCTTAAAGTTTCCACTTTTTTCATTCATAGTTACTTAGCAAGCTTATAAGCTGCAGTTATACTTTCTTGTTTATGTTACTTCATTGAAAAGGACACAAAGTAGTGTAACAATTGTTTTATTTTCTTTTTAACAGTTTTTGAAAAAATTGTATTTGGGAAGGGGTTGCTGGAGGGAAGCTCAGTATAACAAACAATCATACATCGTAAAGCAAAAATACTTTTCTATCAGCATTGGACTAAAATGTGCTCATAACCAACATAAAATATATTGAATGTATTTTTGTGATGCATGTGGCTTCACAACAGAGTTTCTGCATACTTGTATGCTGTCACAGGGTGTTGCCATTTTAAATGCTTTTCCACGCTGCATAAAAGTTCGTAATGAAGTTTCTCACCAATCACTGAACTGCCTCAGTGGTTATGGCATTTGCTGGCAGGGAACAAGGTGTTTGGTTTGGTAACCAGCTGCTTCCTGGTGGGGGCATAATTCAGAAATATACTTGTACCAGTTTCTAAAAATACAGTATCCTTAGGAAAATTCAGCAAGCAGGTACAAAATTATCGAAACTTCTTGCCTCTTCAGTTGCAACTAAAATCATATTTATTTTTTTACTTTGAAGGGGCTCTTCAAAGCTAGTCGGAGTAATCATCAAATTACCTCGCTATTGGAGTTCATTGCTTCATAAATTGATTGCTGCAAAAAAATTTTGAATCTGCCTAGTATGAGTAAAATTAGATTCATTGCCCATTTCAAGCACTTTGTGTCTTCTTTCATCTCGAAAAGCATGCTGGGAACTACAAGAGGGGGGGGGGGGAACTAAGCGGCCAGAAGCTACTGTATCAGTGCATATTGTGACTTTGAACATCTTCTCGTGATCATCAAATTAACCACTAGCTGTGCCCTTCCCTCCACCTGCATAGTTTGTCAACAGGAAAAAAAGCAAATTCTAGTTGTCTATGAAATTGAAATGGCGAGTTCCCTGCTGCATTCAGTGCTTTAATATTTGGCTCGCATGTTTACAGGAGCCTCAAAGACCATTCGACAGCATTTTCTGACTATGTTCAAAAGTATTGCAGTGTCCTTTAAACAAAAAATTTGCCGGTGTTTATGGCTCACTTACTGTGAATAGCAGGGACCTAAATTGCCCGGAAAGGCTCCTGCAAGGAGCATGTTATTTTTGTGGATAGCTATACAATTCATAATGTGTGGACTCCTTACATAATTATTTCTGCTTGTTTGGTGGTTGAATATGGATTTTCAGTTCCAATTCGCTTCATTGTGAATGACTTTCAGTGATCTACTAGCTTATGTTACGAGAAAGAGGTGCCCTGCGGTCTCTTGGGTAGACTGCCCAGCGCGTTGCGAGTTCATAACACATAATATTTTTGTCACGTACTGAGACCTTGTATTTCATAAGTGTAGGAACTTGACTGGCACTTTCTCATGCGTGAAATTTTCATACTTAGCTTGTCAGAAGTTTGTGAAATGCCACATAAGGCAGCACTAACATTATTACAACATCATGACTGAGAAGTTTGAAAAGGCAGGGTAATGTGGTGCTGCTGTTATATAAAATGGATGTTTTGTTCATTTCTTACGGTTACACAAATGCCTGGCAGCCACAGTTACCACAGTAGCAGAACAAGCTAGTGTACGACGTTTTCAGATGATACTCACTTGTTCCTGTTCACTAAAATGAATTTTCACACACTAATGCTACTGCTATAGTAAATGAAGATGTTCTTGTGCTTGCCTATATTTTCACGCAAAGGACAAGTCAGTCCTATTATTTCAGCTTATTTCTCTAATCCACTTCAGCGAGAGTGACTTTTTTTCTGGCAACATTATTAACTGGTTTTTTGTTGTTTCACATTAAATTTATGTGGACACAAAGTTTTTCTTTGCTAGCTTGAACTTTTTTTTTCTGAATTGTATAGCTGTCAAAAATTGAGGCTTTCTCAGTGTTATGTTTCATGTTCAGCACAATATGTTCATTTCTGCATGCCACTACTTTGAAATGTAGACATGCATGAAATGCATAAATGCTGGTAAAAAGCTCAGCTTTTTATGCCTTCTATCACTGTCAGTCTTCAAAATTAGCCAAACATTTTTAGTGGTTCTTCACTCGCTTTATTTGGCCCAACCCTTTGATCTCAGAAATTTAGGGACATTTCTAGTGCATGCAGCTCTGGTGCTCTAAAATATTCTGTACTTTTGACATCACCATAAGCCTATTTTCTGTACTTTGCGGCACTAGTGGCTTTAATGTGATTTCCACTTGTATCGATTTTGTGCCACACTATTCAGCTTAAATTTCTGAATTGATTTGAAATTCCTCTAGTCTACCAAGTTTCTTAACTTCATCATAAAACCTTATTCTCTGTTACCTTCGACTGTGTTTTTCTTTTTACTGGCTTCTCGTGTTGGTGCTGTAGTCAAATAGATAACTGCTTATCTATCCCAGTATCATGATAAGGGTAAATTGTAGAGGCCTAAAACACCAGAAGGAGAATGAAGAAGCATAGGAAAGCAGGCTCTTTCCTTGTGCTTCTTCGTTCTTCTTGTGGTGTGGTCTAGAATTTCCCTCATCATGATGTATCAACTAGCCCAGCAAAAAGTACTTACTTCTACTCCAGCATCATTTGATCTGCTCAACCTGGCTTCTTATTACCCCTGGGCAGTACCGGTAGCCTTATGGCATCATACAATTCATAATTTATAACCTCTGTTTTTAAGTATTTCAATATTTCACTTATGTTCGTCTGTCTCACTCTCGTGCTATTCACTTATGCAAACAGCTCCAATTCTAGCAGAATGCTCTAGATCTGTCAATCACAATAACATCAAGAGTTCATTTGCTGAGAGGTCCTGTTTAAGACCAAATATACAATCGGATTGCCTCTCAAATATGTTGGTTAATGACCTCTGATGTCATTTTCAAATAACACTTAAAGACAATGTTAATGTAATTCTCCCGACACATATTAAGTTGACATTTTTCTAAAAAGCATGCTTGTAGGTGATGGCAAAGTATGTTCAGGGAACATGATTATCACTATTACAAAGAAATTTGCAATGTTTTCAACGTAACTTTTCACTAATGTAATGTTGATGATGTGTGCTTTGACATAGTGCTGGAATAATGACTAATTATGTGGGGGTAATAGATTACAGAACGAGAGTGTATGAAATGAGACAGTAGGATGAAATGTTCATTACCGTTGTGTTTTACTAAATACTGAAAAACGAAAATTGAGGCACAAAGCTTACATCTGACTGAGGAATAAGAGATGCTATTGCAGGGATGGGGATTTTAATAGAAGATTGATGTTGTGCTCTTCTATATGCCAGCAATATTTTGTAAATATAGCCTGAAGAATATTTAGGCTAACGATAAAGTGATTTCGCATAGTTGTAAACTCAAATTATGTGTGTCCTGCTTGTATGCTTGACCATCTTCAGTGGTTAATGTCAAACATGCAAAGCAGTAAAAAATGAATTTTTGTTCAATTCAAATTTAGCTGTCTCTCAATCCAACAAATTTCTGGAATTTTTGCTCAGCAGTTCAGATAATTTCCTGATTGACATGTAGTTAATGTCAAACATGCAAACCAGCAAATGAACTTTTGTTCCAGTCTAATTTAGCTGTCTCTCAATCCAACAAATTTCAGGAATTTTATTTGGCAGTTCAGATAATTTCCCGATTGAGATGTACTGCATTTACATAGCTTTTACATATACAACTCTTTTAAGGTGTCCTGAAAAAAACACACACAAGAATAGAAGGCGTCAGGTTAACTTGAATCGGGTATTACAATTGCTTAAAACATATTCCAACTCATAACAAGACAATTTTTCACTGGGTTTGGGTGCACTGTGTCCTGTGCATTACTGCCAAGAGAATGAAATGCCATTAGAAATGCTAGGAGGGTTGTCATAGCATGGAAGGAAAGAATGGATGACACATTGAAGCATGGCTGGAAAGTATTGAGTGGCCTTTTTTTTTTTTTTTACAATGGGATGATAAGTGATAGACTAGACCTTCCTTTTTTATCTTTGGACCTGTGCAGCATATTGTTTTTGTGAACATGTATTCTCAAAGCTTCTCACCATATGTAGTCTTTACTAGGATATAGTGAGCATTTTTGTAATGAGAGGAAATTTCATTTGGGAAAAAATTTTCTCCATAAAAAGAAAAATGTGCATGCAATGCAGAAATGCTGTCCGTAAAGAATCATTCAGCTCATTGAAATGACACGTGTTTTATTTAAAAGAGCTAAGTTTTACCAATCTTTTAGAGAAAGATTTTTGGTAGAGGATCGTAGGTACTTATTTACAAAAATTGTTGTAGACTATAAATTGAGAAAGTATTACAAACTAAGTGTTAAAGCCACTGCTGTGTGCCTTTGCAATTTCTCTGTCTCTATCAGATGATGTTACAGCGGAGTTTGGCATCGTTAATTTGATTCTTCAGCGTTTTTAAATTTCTAGTTATAATTTTTTATAATGAGAATTGGACTCATTTGTTATCTTAATTTAATAGTATGTATATTCTTTTTATTAAGACAGACCTTATGAAAAGTGTCACAGCCAATGATGTATAATATTTCTCCATGCCATGTATTTAGGAAAACTTGAAGCAAATGGCTTCTTAATACTACTTTACTGAGAGAATTTAGTAGCACAGCAGAAATGATTGCTAGGCTTCCACTAATGTACACTTTTTTTTCCCGCATTTTACAGATAAACGGACCACGACGACAAGAAATTGCAGCAGACATGGGATAGTCTTCTTGCCTCGTTTTAAGTGTGGTGTCATGCCATTTTGTTAAGGGCTTTTAATTTTGAATTTTGTACAGCGCTGAACTCTAAGCTTTTGCCAAAGTGAAATGTTGCCTCATCTCACGTGTGGCTGTAATGGCATGCGTGTGTGCCTTTTATTTTATTTTGTAGGTCAGAGTGATGTGCTTAGGATTTATTTGTCATTTGTTCTTGCTAGTCTTCAAATATTCAGTGGTTTACTGAGTATGTTTGTTAGGGGGCTGGTAGTTACAGCTATGGCAGGTGTGGAACAGAGGCTTATTCCTTTCTTTTTTATTACCTGTTCAGATTACTTGTAAGCTGACGGACCAGATGTTTCACCACATGAGCAGGACTTTTAATTTATGTGTAGATATGTCTTGTATCAATGTCTGCTGTTTGCATTATAAGTTGTATGCATTCGGCAGATGTGGGGGATATGAACATATTTTTTTCTATAAGACTTGCAGTGTTCAATCTGTAAACATTTTGTATGTATAAAGATTTTCTATGACAATTTCACTGTGTTTTGTTTTTTATATATTTTAATATCACCATTGTTCATGCTACGAAATCACAGCAGTGGTGCGGTCGCGCTGTTAAGCACCGGTATAAACAGTGCAGGTGGTGTAGCGGTTTAGCTGTTCAGGCAGTAGCCTGTTTCTTGAGAGGCGCAGGTCGCCGGACTTCAACATCGCGGATCAAAACACCTCCGACCGTGTAATTCCCTCTCGCTCCCTCCAACGCGTTAACGGTGCTGCGCGTCGATGGCGCAGTTGGGTGCTCGACCAAATCTTTACTGCGACACAAACGCCGTGACGTCAGCGGCGCAACGATCCCGATTCCCTAAAAATAACAGCAGGTTCCTCAATGGATGCGCGCACTTCTGCCGCCCACGTCAACACAGAGTTGTAACCGACGTCACAGCCCCGTGTACGCTGAACGCACATCGATCGGATCCCAGCTGCGGCGTCAACACGGCGCCTACGCAGTCCTCGGAACTGCGCACTAGCTGGCGCTACGCGCGACAGCTGGAAAACTACCCGTTCCGGAAAGCTTGGCGGCGATCACTTTCAGGCGCTCTCGTCGCAGGCTTTCTCCGTGCTCGAGACCGGCGCAGTACGCCTATCGGGAGACGCGTTTGAACGCGCCCAGAACACGGCCGCCGCGCAAAAGCAACAAAAATAACGGCGCCCGAGTCCGCAGCGCCTTTGACGCAGTTTTCGCGTCTGCTCTAGAACAATCTCGTTGTTACGTGCGTGCGCGCCAGCGCGTCGTCGTGCGTGCGGCGCACTTGCGTCACAGGGGGAGGCGAGCGCATGCGCAGCTGGTTTCCAGGGCAACGAAGCGACCCGCCGCCTGGCGGTTGGCCGTGTGACCGTGGCTGGCGGGCTAGTGCCGGAGGGCCTTGCTTGAGGCGTCTGAGGCGTTGTGAACGAGAAGAATGCGCTTTATTCGAACATGAAAACGTGCCAACCCGCCCCGGAGGCGGGGAGGCGAGATTGATAAAACGTGTCCCCGGCCCTCGCTTGGCTTGGAGTTTATCTGAGTAAAGGCGCCGCAGGTGGCGCTGCCGATTAGATAGGCCGACTACGCTATAGTGCGCATGCGGGCGCTCACATCCGGCCCCTCCTTGTCTGACCAAGTCCCATTGGTCTAGGAAAGGAGCACTACTTGGTGGCTTCACTGCGATAGAGAATAGTCCTTCAAGCGCTCGGGTGGGCGCTTTTGGCGGTGAGGGTCGCGAGGAGGGTACCGCTGGAGGCAAAACTGCAGGGCCAAGGGAAACTGGTGGTTGAGATAACTCATTGCCAACACTGGGAGAGCCAGATAAGTCACACAAGGCCACTCTTGGGTTTTCACAATGTAAGCTCGACATAATGGCACGTAGTGCTTGAGTTGAGAGACGTGCACTATCCTGTCTTGGAGTCGATCACGAGGACCTTGACCATTACGCGGCTACGACAAACGTAACGGGTGTTTTCTGGTTGGTGATTTGGTATATTCCCTTGAATTTGGGTGCCAACTTCCAGTTCCATCTGCTACAGGCTCTTGGCGGCGCACCCAGACGAACTGGCCGACTTGGAAGGAGTGGTCTCGATGGGACTGATCATATGCTGTCTTCCGTTTCCCTTGTGCTTCCTCGTATTACTTGCTGCTACGGCCCGGTTCTGAGACAGCATTAGGAGACGGTCTTGTAGGGTCCTGGCTGTGGCGGGACGGTGGCGTTGATATGGGAGCTTGGGGACGTATCCATACAGTAGTTCAAATGGAGAGAAACAGCTGCTGGCGCTATAGCTTGTGTTGATGGCAAAAGCAGCTTCTTCGAGTTTGCTTGCCCAGGAGGTCTGGTCCGTTGGACACAGCTTACGAAGAACGGAGACTAAAGTCCCATTGCTTCTCTCTACAAGACCATTGCTGGCTGCGCGGTATGCCACTGAATAATGAATCTCGGCACCGTGCATGTGCATGAAGTGCTTAAACTGGTGAGATTCAAAGGCTGCTCCATGGTCAGACATGCAGTCATCAGGACAACCAAAGCGGAGAACACCGACTGTAAATGTGCTATAACTTCCTTAGCTGATGTTGAAGTTACAGCCGCTGGGACAATGAAACGCGTGGCAAAGTCAATGACATTCAAAATGTACTTCTTTCCTGAAGCAGCCGGCATTGTGATGTGATCAATGGCAATTAAGGCAAAAGGAACATCCGACACTGGCATGAGACCCATTTTGCCAACACTTTTAGATATTGGGCGGTTTTGCTTTGGCAGATCTGGCATGCTGTGACGTAGTGGTCACTGAAGACGTAAGGTTTGGCCACCAGTAACGTTCTCTCACTTTGGTCAGTGTCGGGTTACATCCATGTGGCCTCCACCGTCATGAACCACCTCCAGGACAGCCTGGCGCATCTTTGCTGGCACTACAATAGCTTGAGAACCTGAAGTCGCGTCACTATGGTACAGGATGTCATCATTATGGCAAGGTCAGGTCCCACGATTTGAAGATGACAGAGAGCGAGAGGTCCTGGCACTCTTTGTCTTCTGCTTGCATAGCTGCGAGAGACTGTGCTGATGGAGGACTGCTGCAGATAATCGTGACAGCATGTCAGCAACCACGTTTTGACGGCCTGGATGGTGCTGCACAGTGAAGTCGAACTCTGTAAGATCCATCAACATGGTCGTAAAACGACGTGAAGGCCTGAGCAATTTCGCAGCCAGTGGAAGGAAGACATTCCATCACAGGGCACAAGCAGGATAAGTGAAGACATTGAGCACACAGTTGAGCTAGCAGAGGAAGGCAATCCTGGGACACAGGTGGGCAAAAAAGGCCGACCCTTGAAAACAGAGAACACCAGCCAGAAACAGCAGCAGCTCAGCGCTGACCATAAACAGAAACATCCCTATCCTCAAATGCAGTCAAATGACCATCCACCACAAAGCAAACGCACTGTAGTCCTAGGCGACTCCAATGCCCATCGATTGAAAAAGCACCTCCGTAAAGCTATACATGATCAAAGACTACGCATCACTACAAAATCTGGTGCCAATCTTGAAGAAACACTTCACCGAGCTGAAGGAGAAATTCAGAAGGCAAATGCCACCAACACAGAGCTGCAACTAATAATACATGTAGGTACTACTGATCTTTTAAATAAAGCAGACATTAAAAAGACCACTGACCACCTGAAGCAACAACTGACTTACTGGAGCCAAAAGACACCCAAACACCACTACATAGTCAGTGCCATCCCTGAACCGAAAGCAAGGGGTCAACAATTTGCTACAGCATGCCAAACATGGAACACGGCAGTTCAAACGGCGTGTACAGCCTTGGGCCCCAGTGTGCGGTTTATGTCAGCAGCCGCCCAGCTAACCGCAGATCACCTGGATGATATCCACTACTCGGAACAGGCAGCGGACCAGGTTGGCAGCCAACTAGGTGAGGCCATTAAATCTTTTTTATGGGACAAACAACCAACGCGCCCACAACACTGGAGACGATCAACAAGACCAGATCAAAGGACAGTGCAAACGCTACTGAAAGCAATGACAACAGCCCTAGGCAAACTAGGACAGAGAAACCGGCACTGGTAAGCAACCAAGCAGGCAAAACCATACGCACAACCCCCCCCCAATTTCAGTCCTCCAGAGATCATTGTCAATCACTTTCCAGAAAAAGAAGAAACAGAAGAACAAAGCAGAGTGAAGTGAAAAAGAACTCACCATATGCCTACTAAACATGCAAGGAACAAACAAACTCAAGTGGGCTGAACTCCAAGACCAAGTGAACAGACAAAAAATAGATATCTACGCTCTAACGGAAACTCACCTGCGGGACGACGAACAACCTCTGCTCCCGGGGCTAGTATGGCAAGGAAAGAACAGAAGTAAAGGACAAAACGGGGTGGAGGCATTGGTTTTATTACACCGAAGAGAAGCACGGTAAATGGGGACTGCCAGGACAAGGAACACATGTGGATAAAAATAAAGATTGACACACGTGACCTGTACATTTGTGTCATATACATGGCAACAGGCCTCGAGGAACAAAAGTGGAATGACAGCATTTACGCATGCCTCAAGAAAGACATTGAAGAAACCTACAAAGGCCAACCGGTACTACTGATGGGAGATTTCAACTGCCACATAGTAGAATTGGATGGTCACGAAAAAGATGCTGCTGGCTTCCGAAAATTAATTAAACAATGCAACCTACAAATAGCAAACCTCCATCCAGCTTGTGAAGGCACCTACACATGGTCACGCAGAGCTAACAAATCTGCTATAGACTACATACTTTACAATCAAGAGGTAGTAAGGCAAGATATAAACATCACAGCTCTGTACATAGACGAAGACAAAACAAACAGCTGTGGAAGTGACCACAACCGAATGAAACTGTGCCTCAGACGCCATCAACCCCATCGAGTAAACCGGCCTGAAACTACAAAAGCTCACTGGCGAGTGAAAGAGCAAGAGCGCCTGGATGAATTTTCCAATAAACTCGAGTCAACATTAACAGAACCTCTAACATACGAGGAATTCGCAGAAAAATGCCTGTCAGTAGCACAAGAAACCATTGGGAAAACTAGTGAAAAAAAAAGGACCAGAAACACACCTTGGTTTGATGGAGAACTGAAGACAGAAATTCGCATTCGCAAAGAATTATCCAGAAGGCACCGTCATACGCCCAATGAGTCGACAGAAAAAGAGGTAATTTGGAAGGAATACCTGGCCCAAAAAAGAAAAGTAAAGGAAATGGCCGCAAAAAAGATAGACCAGAAATTCCAAAAAGAAGAAGAAAACCTGCATAAGGATCGTAACCATTACAGTCAGAAGTTTTGGGCATACATAAGGACACTGGAACCAAAGGACACCCTTCAGGAAGATCCACTCATACTACTTACTGAAAATAGCATTCCTCTACATACCAAAGAAGAAATTGAACAGCACATAACTAAACATTTTAAAAATATGCAAACCAATCCAGTAGATCCACCACCCCAGATCAGCAGTA